ACTGAGTTCTATATTCGTGCCTTCAAATTCCATGAAATTTTGGTCTGGCAGTTTGTTGCGCAGCCTTCAGTAAACATGCATCCATGACCTTATTTGTGGTTATGCTTTGATATACGAGTAAATTCAAAGCCACTCTTATGATATATTAAGTACTAATGTGCTCATGAATATTGCTTTCATGTCATAAGAGTGGCGTAATCTTAGAACATGTTATAAGATGGACAGGTAGACCAAAATTAACATGACCCTCTGGTTGTAAAAGGTCTAGTTGCATCGGATATTTCAGTACATGCAGTGACTCACTGAGTGGAATGGTGAAAAGGGATTTATGTAGCCAGCAGAAATTCATTGGGAATAAGGCTTAGTTTTTTTGTTGTTATTCATGAACATTAATTCAACTTGCCTTTGTGTAACAGAATTCACTACGATGGCTGGAAGACGGCTGCGAGATGCTGTGAGAACAGTGCTCACAAGTGGAGGTAGCAAAGAATTTGATGAAAATGTTCATGTAGTGATAGCTGGGTTGACAAATACATACTCGCAATATATAACAACCTTTGAGGAGTACCAGATACAGAGATATGAGGTCAGTTAATGAATCTTGGTAAAAAATGCTGTAAACTGTGGGCACTGCTTAAGTTTTGCAGTATGATGTAGACAACATTGAAAACATTAGATAAAGACATTGTTGAAATATACAGATTAATGATTAGGGCAAACTAGGAGGTCGTATATATTCTAAAAATAATGTGATATTTAGAAATGGAATTCTTATTATGGAAGAATAAGCATGCTTGAAGTTGCTACAGTTGAAGGTGTATCTTCAATGCCAGTATCACTTTGAGGATCTACATGAGTGGGTCACTGGGTTTTTAATACAGAAATTTGTTGCATACAGCTATGTAACGAAGTGTATTGAAAATTTGTACACAGAGATGAAAAGTAAACAGATAGTTAATCTATTGGAAAAGGGGCTGTTCATTATAATATACCTCTGTTGATTCCCCTCCTTAAAAACTTGGAATGGTTCCACTATGTTATTTTTCCACTGTTTGGGCTCCATTTCTAAAACTGTTTTTTTCGTCAAATTCAATTTCAATCATAATTTTTATCAACTTTTTAACCACACATTCCACAATTTTATCAATTTTAGGTAGATCATAAGCATAATTTTTCCCCACCATTTCAAACATTTAAATGTTGTCCTTTCAGTTTACGTTGAAGACAAATTTTCCGTAGCTATTAGCCTATTGTAAATTATGAAATAAGAATACATGTTATTTATTGTACGTGCACAATGACACTTATTTGTCCGGTCTCTTAAAACCAAATAGCACGCGTAGGTAGTAGATGTGGGTTAACTCTGCCTAGTATAAAACTTTTACAGTTCATGGAAAATTCTTGTTTTGAATGCTTATGCATGTCTTGGTTTCCTTCCCAGGGTGCTTCGACACTCTATGGCCCACATACTCTCTCTGCCTACATTCAAGAGTTCAAGAAGCTTGCAGCAGCCCTTATCAGTGGACTGTCTGTGCAATCTGGTCCACAACCCCCAGACCTTTTAGACAAGCAAATAAGCTTGCTAACACCAGTCGTGATGGATGCAACTCCTCTGGGTGTAAAGTTTGGTGATGTCAGCAAAGATGTACCCAAGAATTCCACCTTTACTCGAGGTGAAAATGTGACAGTTGTTTTCTGGTCAGCATGCCCCAGAAATGACCTGATGACTGAAGGTACATTCGCGTTGGTTGAGATCCTTCAAGGGGAGGATCGTTGGGTTCCAGCTTACGATGACGATGATTTCTGCCTCCGCTTTATATGGTCAAGACCTTCTAAACT